AAAGCACTCAAATATTGCTTAATAAATAACACTCAAGTTTGAATAAACTCAAAGCAAGAATTTCTCTCAAATAAGAATGTATTTCACTCAAGTTGAGTTAAAAAAATTCAACTCTTTTTTTGAGTAGGGGAAATAACTCTTTCATTTTAAGAGAGTAAGTAAAGGTATAATTGGCTTCAGTGTTTTATTCCATAAACCAACTCGGTCTTCCAATCAAGTTTCAAAATTAGTTACAAAATATGTGTGAGAGTTTTAAATAGATGAAAAACTACAAAAACTGTTTTCTAACTAACCATTATTTAACGCATCAAAATTGATTGAAATAACAGAGAAACATTTTAGTGGGAATAGCTTCAATGAAGTTTGCAATTAATTTTATAATGTACAAAACGATATTTTTCAATATTTTAAAATGCCATATTAATCGCTCTGAGCATCTAAAATATGTAAGCTAATCTGTGAAAACTCTTAAGGTGTTATGCCTCCACAGAGGAAAAAAGATATGCATCCTTTGGAAATATTGGCAATCAGGTTATAAAACAAATCAAAATTTTGTAGAAAAAAATCTAACCTGTTAAAATTGATATTAATTAAACGAGATTAAAAATGATTGCAAAACTTTTCTTTTGAAAAGAGTCTTAATATTTGAAGTGTGTGAGGTCGAAGTTTTTTAATTAAAAATGGAAATAGTTGATTTTTGATTTGCCAATTTGCACATGAATATAGTGTTTTTTTATATCACAAACTTTCGACAAGAAATCGTAAGAAAATCGTTTAATATAAGCTAATTCATTTATGAAATGAAAAAATCTTAAGTTCTTCTTTTAAGAACGTAGTTATAAATATGTAATTCTGAAGCATAATATTGCATCTGGTAAACTGTGCATCAAAACTATATATTTATATCAGGTGCAGCATTTATGCTGTACTAAGCATCATGAGCAATCAACTAGAGAAAGACCAGAGAAAAAGCTGGACACGGACTTAGGTTATAACTTCATTAAAAGATCTGTGGATAACTCTTGACCAACAGTTAATTGCATATACTTGTAAAATGAAAACAAATCATTGCCCTATTATTGCATTTTATAACATGCTAAATTTTTCTACTTACAATGCATTTATTCACTCGATAACAACAAATATCAAATAAAAAGAAATCAAAATGGAAAAATGTAGGCCTTTTTATAAACAACTGGGCAAAGAATTAATTTTGCTATAAATTCAAGTATGTATAAAATTTATAAATGTCTAGTATTTATAAAATTAAAAAGAAAACTAGCACATTCGTAAGTCGCATGTGTCCTATTATAGCCTAAACTGTAAATAAAAACAAGAATATTTTTTTAAAAGAAACTTTTATTTATTTATTGTTTCATAAAAAAGCATGGCAATCATATTTATACTCATTATAATATATTTTTATTTATAATTCAAGTAAAATCCATTTAAGAAAATATTTTATCTGAGTCTTATAATAAATACACTCAAGGTTCGCTCTTCATGTCATATTACTCCGAAGTATACGCTAACATAGTAAATATTAGCAACAGCAGGTATAAATTTAGTTAGAGAATAAGCCATAATACGCTATTTATTCTCAAAAGACATTCAAAACATTGTAAAACATTATACTTTTTTTTAATTCAAAGGATATATTAGTTTTGCATAACTATTGGGATGTTTTCACTTTATTTAAAATATATATTTTCTTGTGAATTAAGTCCAAGCCCAAGTCAATTTCAAATTCCTTTTATAGCCCCGCATATTGCTATACATTTACATCCATATGCATGATTTGGCGAGTGTGAGTAAGAAACTGAATTACAACAATCGGTTAGACATAGAAGGAGTTAAAACGTCTAGCCAAAATTAAAGTAAAATTGAAATTAATGATAAGGGCCTAATGCTCAAAATAGGGAGTTTGTTAAGTATCTAAAATTTAAAAAACAGAAATATAGTCTTAGTCTTTTGGTGCAAATGAAAAAGTCTCCCTGCACTCAAGCAATGACAAGTCACCCCACCATAATTCCGCAAGTACGAATCTTGAGAAGTTAGAGGGAAGAGGGAAATTCAAGCTGAAGGAGATTTAAGCTGTTCGTTCATTATCATCAAACACAGATATAAGTTCATTATTGCATGCTATAACAATTTGTAGTCATTTATTTAGTCTTAGGATACATGCAAATAATTTTTTTACTGACCACTGAAGCATAACTGATTGACGTCTTCGGCTTAAGGGAGTTGAAAAATTAACTCCTACTCCTACAAATAGTTAAAGACACATCAAATGTTGTAGTATTGCAAAAGCAGCAGAATCCACATTTTGTGTGAAAAATCTGACACTAATACAGTCAAACCCCGCTATAGTGAACACGGTTTATAGTGAACTTCCGGATATAGTGAACGAAATGTTCAGCCCCGTGCCTTGCTATATACGTATAATGCTATTTTTCATGGATATAGTGAACCAAAAAAGTGAGGAAGTTGGATATATAATGAACTTTTTTCTGTCTTTGACTGATTTTTTTTTCATTTTTTTGTAATAATTTTGAAATTTCTACTTCAAAATAAGTACATACACCGATTCCTAAAAACCATCTATAGAGGGGAATTAAGCTGTAACCATTTTTCTTGTTTGTTTCTTTTATTTCACTTTCCCATCCCTAAACAAACCAAGTAGATTTTTCCAACCAGGCAGATGATGCACCTGTAAGGTGTCAGTGGGATCAATATGCATTTTCTGACAGAAGGAATGAGTAATTATTCATTATTGGTCAAAGGGTTGGACACTAGTATGTGTTCATAAGGCCCTCATTTGAACTCCTTTTTACTCTCAGTTCAGTTAAAAAATCCTGCAAACAAGTGTCTTAAATTTAACTATGGGGAGTAGAAAGCGTAAAACTTTTTCCATTGATGATAAAATGGGCCTAATCAGAAAAAATTGAAAAAGGATGCAATCAAGCTGATATTTGCAGGGAGTATAAACTATCCAAATCATTAGTTTATAACATATGGAAAAATAGGCGATTAATAATTTCTGCTCGTGAAAAAAATTTAAATGGCAGAGAAAGTTGAGAAAAGCAGATCACAAGGGTGTTGAAGAAGCATTACTGAAGTGGTTCACCAATCGAAGAAGCGCAATCTTCCAGTATCTGGACAAATGTCGATGAATTTGCCAAGCGATTTTATGAGACTACTTATATGTGCGCGAATGGCAGATTTAGACAGGTTTAAAGGGAGGAATCACGTAAATTAAGGAAAAATCATCTGAGAGTCGGGAAGTGTTTCCATATCTCATGTTGAGGATTACTCATCCGTTGAGATTTTTAACTTTTTTTTTGTACGCGAGAAGAAGAGTAATGAAAAATAACAAATTTTTTGATACTACAGAGCATTTTTCAGTCATTTATTTGTTATAATATGTAATAAACGGAAGGAGTTTGGGTACCATTAGTTAAATTGCCTGTGTAACGGATATAGTGAACTCCCGGTTATAGTGAACCAAAATTTCCGTCCCCTGAAGGTTCACTATAAGACTGTATATTATTATGGTTAGACTGTATATTATTTATATTTTAATTTGCTCAGTGATTCATTTCAACTGTCAAGATTAATTCGTTTAAGTTTGCATAAAATTTTACAGTTATTTAAATCCTACGGGTAAAAGCTTCCATTTATTAAAAGAATTTGAAATATAAGGAAGAAAAATATCACAAAAAATTTTTTGAAATACTATGCAAAGTATCAAAAAAGAAACTATAATATATGAATAAAAATGTTAGATTCAAACGGCAGACGTACTCATGCAATTAATTAAATTATATTTACCGAACATATATCAGAGTTTAATTAAAAAAAATAAATGATTCTTTTTATCTAAACTTTAAAGGACATTGTTGTTGAAAGTAAAGAAAATGATTCATTTGAAATTATAAGGTTGAATGCTATCATATAAATTTTTTAAAAGAAAATATTATTCCAAAAATGAAACTAAAACACATAAAATAATATTAGTTGAATTCCATGCCAACTGAAACTAGTAGTAAATTTTTAAAATTTAAGCAATATCCTTGTATTTGGTATCATTTTAAAGGAAATGTGTTGTAATTTATGAATTCAAAAGTTATTATTATTTGGAGCTTTATATGATCATAGTAAAATTTATCATAAATAGTGAGCATTCATGATTTTGACTTATTCTACCAAAAATCATTAGGTTATCAATGTTGATTTAGGTAAAATCCGGTTTAAATTACTGTAAAATGGGACTTTTTATCGAAAAATCTATTTTTATAAGAACATGTTACAGAAAACAAATTCGGATATGCAGAATTTTTTGCACTAATAACTACCATAAAATCACTGTAGCACTCTAATTAAATAGTCATTTCAGTAAAAATTACTACAATATACTATTTCACGATAAAATTGGATTGTACGGTAAAATGCATTTATTGGATGATGTATCCAAAGTTACGGTACATTATGCCGCAATTTGGTTCTACATTTTTTTCAATGTGCTTTTTTTCAAATGCTTTTCTTCTGTGCTTCATTAAATAATAGGGAATTGGACATTAAAAACTCATAGTTAAAAATTTGATAGAATTACTAGCATTGCACGAGAAAAAAAATTCTATCACAATTGAAATACTTACATTGTAAAGACATTTCTTGTAAAATGAAACATAAAAGCGTTTTAAGAACTTGAAATATTTACATTTACCTAAAAATGTATATCACATACAGCTAAAAAACTACCGTAAATATATTACTTAATATATATTTTTTTTCAATTCTGGAGCTGGAGACAAAATAAAAACAATTAGAAAATGTACATCAATCACTATTTGCTTTTGTTTTTATTCTTACGCAATGAAGAGAAGTAAATTAAAGATGCTATCACCAAAGCAATCAACAAAGCAAACAATTACACCCTCTGAAATTTTCAGGTATGTATTTAATGATGTCCCGAAAATAATTTCCCTTTTTTAGTGTTTAGGTGGAAGCTGCATTGGATAGCTGCGTTTCCTGTGTTTTCTGTTTGGAGCAATGTCATTATATCAGCTTATTCTAGCATGTAGCATCTTGGGAGGTAATACTTTTTTAAAAACAATGAAATAGTGATAGCTTATATCATAGGTTGTAATCATTACCTAATGAAAATGATACAATTTTTTTCTAGAAATAATAATAAAAATGTTTCAATTAACTCTCTTGTAATTTAATCTAATTTTTATATTTTACAGTTGGAGTATTTCCAATACGTAAGTTGAAAACAACTGTTACAAAATTTTTATGTATGAGACTCAAACTTTAAAAAACTAAAATAAAAATTACGATATTATTTAAAGATACTTTCTTATATTATACATGAGTCTTTGTAATCTTTACTCAGAAAAATTAAATTTCTTGAATTCATATCAAAATTTAATAAAGATTTTCAAAATTAAATAGGGATCACAGTTTTGATGTGATGTATTTAATGGAACTCAAGTGTTGAAAGAGTTATTTTCAATAATTAACTTATCGGGAGTTTTTTTTTTTTTTGAAATTCCAATTTGTTCGAAAATTATTTTAATATTTTAAGAGTTTTTCTCGTGAAATTGTTTCACTTTTTTTGTTTTAAATAATGATTATTTATCGATTGTGGTCGAAACATGGTTTTTCTGTCGAGATCATTCTTTTATAAGCTCGTACTTGACTGGATGCCAAAAGTTACAAAAAATGGACACATAAAACTAAAAGTATAAGTCACAAATTTTATATAGATTTTTTTCCGAAAATATAATTATCTCAATTGAGATAAAAATCTTTTGCTTCTTGAACTGTTATACTATATAAAATTATCGTCATAAATTTTTGACAAGTAAAATTACTTCTTAGTCTGTCACATTTCCTTAATTCCTTCGTTTAATTATTTTTTTAGAACAATTGATTTCCTTCCAAACTCCAATAAAACTAATCGTTAATTTTTTACGGTTAACATAATAACAAGATGTTCTTCATTAAATTATATTAATTATATGTTTATTATCCAAAATTCAATTTTTTAAAGTGTCGAATTAGCGAAAAATCCCGGAAGTTTTTTAACTGAGCCTCTTAATATTATTGTTGTTGTTGCCACTTGCCAATATCAGAAAACCTGCTTGGTGAAACCAAGCAAATATAAGGCAGAGGGAGCGTTTTATATTCTTCAGTGGCGCTATCTACGGTTGAGAATGCGTCATACATTTGACCATCAACCCGTTTATAGGGTTGATCCATTTATATATTAATAGATCGTAATTTTGACCTGTACTAGAGAACGATAAACCTCCAATTCAGTACTTAATGAGCTATAATTTGTTGTGGGAGGACTTTGTGAGCCGACAGATTTAATGCCCACCACTCACCATTTACTACACGGAGAATCTTCGAACAGTGGGAATTGAACTTACGACCTCATAGATATGGGCCCAGTGCGCAACCAACCAGGCTATTCCGGTCCTCTTAATTAATTTTGATTTTCATCATTTGAATCTGTATTTTATTGTTATCATGAAACTACTTACTTTGTAGAATAGTTAATTTCATATGCTTTTAGCCATACCTCAATTTTTTGGTAAGAAATATCCTTTTTTATTGATTTCCATTCTGATCCGATGTATACAGACTATAAAACTGTTTTCATGAGTTTTTGAGTCAATGCTCAATTCTTATGGTTGTTATAATTTAAATTTATGAATGTATGAATGTGAGAATATAGAATGTGAATTCTGTTTTATTGTTTTTTTCATTCTGTTTTAATTTGTTAATGTAACGACCTAAATTTCAAACAATTGAATTGATGATGAAAATGAAAATGTTAAAAATGATTTTAAAAACAATTTTATTTCTATATCAGTTGCTAAGAAATAATATTAGTCACATGAAAGCTTATAATGTGTATTATGGGAATTATATCAAAATTCATACTTGCTTTGAAATTATTAATAATTATTAATATATAAAGCAAAATAATAGCTAATTTTGCTTTAACAGAATTTAAAAGTTTTCAGCAAATTTAGCCTTGCTTTTTCAGAAAATATTCACAGAACATAAATTTTAATATTTAATATTAAATTTATTGAAACTAAAAAAAAAAGTCAGTGCAAATTTTTAAAAATTCTCATGAGTACTATGAAGAAAAATAATTTAATTAATTTTTGATTAATAGCACAGCGTTATTTAAACTTTTTTAATGCTAATAACTGAATTTCAAATCTTGAGAAAAAATAAATACATTAGCCTTAAAATGTAATATTTATTACGGGTGAGCATACATGTCTTCAAATAAATATAAATAAATTATAATCTTACAATAAAAATAGAGATATTAACTGGTGCTTGTGTGTACTTGATTGTAGATGTTATCATTTCTACTCCACATCTTAATCAGATATTGATCATTTTTACTCAACATCTTAAGTTTAATGTGTGCATAAGAAATACATAATGTAAACATTGGCACCAGAAACTTTACTAAATATGAAAAGTATTGAGTACAGACTCAATTGAAAAAAAATTGAGTCGTAAAATGTTTTCATAAACATAATGTAAAACTAGATATTGAAACATTTATATTGGTTCAATTCTATTTTTGTGTAATCCAAATAATAATAACTTCTGGTAATTTCATTCAAGTTTAAATATTTCTTCAGATGTTCTCTGCTGTTACTGGTGCTAAAATCAGGATGATGAAAGGCTATGTTAAACGAAAAGCAATTAATCCATTATAAATTATGTTATAATTCTTCAAATGAGATAGCAGTTTATTTCCTTTTTAGAGAAATGATTAAGGATTTTACATAAGTAATATTGAGTTATGGTGGCTCAAGAGACATGGCGTTCGTCCATGTTCGATACCCGGCTTTGGCTAGTTGGTATGAAACCTGCTATCGGCTTGCACTTACTACAGGGCTGGTTTAAAACATCCTCAGTGTTAGACGGAATATTGGTTGGTATTCCCTTGAAACAGGGAAGTATCGCGATTTTTCTCTCCAATTAAGGCAAATGCGAGTTGGTACCCTCACATACTCTTCCACGAAGGTTAGTTTTTTCAATGATTGATCTAGAAGGTTACTTTGCCTTTCGGTTTGGGTTCAAAATTAGTAGGTTCCGAAGTTGATAAGTGACAGTTATTTACTTAGAATCGGGACGCAGCTGTGCAACAACGGCTGAAAAATGAAAAAAAATAAAATTAGTAATTTTTAAAAAATGAATTAAAATATCGGAGGGGAAACTGGCACTTAAAAATGTTTTATATCAAACAAATTATCTCCATTCTGTCCAAAACCACTGCACAAAAATTTTTATTTTCTAAGAAACTCAACACACTACAAAAGAATGTAATTTAGTACCTTCATATAATAAAATTTAAAAAATTGCATGTTTATGCAAAATAAACAAATGTTATAACCTTAAAAGAGTTTAAAGTAGAACCTTTCTCCTAAAAATTTCAATTATTTTAAAATTACTATTTTGAACATATTTCCATTAAGTTATTCGCATGGATCCAGAGTGATTTTTATTAAGTAGTAGCTTGACCCACCCATTGAAGTATCAACCAACCTCTTAGTACATGAACCGCTAAATAAAACTGAAGTCTAAATAGGATTATTCTAGCATTTATTTAATTTATCTATATTCCAGTTTGCATAATAATTTAGATATTCAATTGTTTTCAAGAAAAATTGCGTTTTAAAGATATTCTCCGTGCTATAACGAAACGCAAGAACACTCTTTAGTATTTATTCACAATATGATTATACTTAAATAGTGTAAAATTATGAAGATATTTTAATACGTAGTACAGTTGTTACACTTATAAATAAAAGGAAAGTCTAATAATTATTATTAACTACTTTATTAAGACTTTTTAATTAAAAAAAATATAACAATGTTTATTCTTGTTTATAGGGCAATTTAATCCGTTTCCTCCAGGTAAATATTTCCTTATTTTTTGTAAAAATACATTTACATTTTCTATAGAAATGATAATATAAAAAATATAAAAATATTTATAATCTTTTTTTCAGGTTTTAATCCGTTTCCTCCAGGTATCAGTTTGCTTAATTTTTGTAAAAATAAATTTAGATTTTCTATAGAAATAATAATGTAAAATATATAAAAATAATTATTATCTTTTTTATAGGTTTTAATCCGTTTCCTCCAGGTATAAGTTTGCTTAATTTTTGAAAAAATAAGCATACATTATTTTATAGAATTGACATAAATTAGTTTAATTAGAAAGAAATAGAATAAATTATTATTTATTGTGAAGTGTTTCTGATCTTATTTTTAGGCAATAACCCATTTCAATCGCCAGGTAACAAGATTTGTTTTTACTAAGGAATGGTTGAAAAACTTATTGATCTATTTATATAACTGACAAAATAATAGCAAGAACTTATTTTCTTAACCATCAAAACGAAACGAAGAAATTTTTCAATCTATGGAACTATTTTAATTTAATAATTTATTTTCTAATGATTTTAAAATATATTCTTCGAGTATACGTACAAGTTTTTGTTTTTTAGGACTTAGGATCAACCATTTAGTTCCACCAGCACCTCAAGGTAAAATTAGCTCGAAATGTTTTTCAAATAGCATTATGTCTCTAACTTTATCACCTCGACCCTAACAAAGAAATCCATTAGTTTAAACAATAAATGATTTATAAGTATCCGTATATTTTTTTTAAATGTCATATTATTGATAATATAATAATACATCTATTTAAAGCCATAGTTATTCAATATTAATATCAATATTTTCGATATCATTAACCTTTTTATTATTATTATTACTTTATAACTACTAATATTATTAATATATAATATTCAAAATTTGAATTTAGTTTTTCATTTCCATCGTAAGTATACATATTTTTTTCAAACTGTTAAAGACTGTGCCCTATTTTCCAAAATTTTTTTGACAACCATACTGTATTCCTCGTTGTGAAATAATCTAGTAGTCTTAAAATATGGTAGAAATTTACAATTTCTAAGAAATAGCTTATCATTTCAAAAAATATAATTTTAAGGAGAGGTTGGGAATTTTTTTTCTAGGCAACTTCAAATTATAGATAGCAGTTAAGAGAGAAATTTTATTTGTCGCATATGTATGTTTATTCGGTATTATTCTTTGTAATATAAATCTTTATAATTCTTCTGTAAAAAATAAATTTTAAATATTAAACAAGCAAAGAAAAAAAATTTCAGTTTTTGACTTAAAAACTGCTCAAAATATATTTTTGGAAGACTACTTATTATTATTGTGATTGAATGTGCTTCAAAAATAATAAATAATTTATTAATAAGTTTAGTTTCTGCATGAATTATTCTCTTTTTGTAGCATTGTATTCTGTTATTTGTCTCGATTAGTTTGATATATAAACAGTAGAAATTAAATATTATTTGATGCTGAAACAATGAAATTTTTTTATGTAATATTATTTGCAAGCAGAAACTCTAATATTAATTTTGAAATAAAATAATCGATAATCAGCTATATTATGAGAAATTGGTTTATGGAAGTTCAGAAGCAAGCTATCATTTCACGATGAAGAATTTTCTTAAACTTTCCATAAATTTTATTTTTATAATAATAATAAAACATTTTAAAATCATCATAAAATCATTAACATTTACTCAATATATCCATAATTCATTATTATTCCTTTATACTTATATTTTTGCGAATATATATTTTAAAAAGTTTAAACTTCGGGTAACCTATAAACTTCAGATATTCCATGTGCACTCTATTTTTTTATACTTTTTTATTGCTTTTCAGAAACATTTTACCCAGATGGACATGGCGGTAAGTGTCTTTTACTTAATCGTACGGTATATGGCAGTCAATAGTGCTTAAGTTTACATTCAAAGAAATGAATGTCAGACGAAGTAAGTTATCCCGCAGTGGTCTTATCGTGACGACATTGTTTCCAGTAAAACACCTAAGTCAAGCATCACTGGCTGTGGTCAGTAAGCAGGTAGAGCACACTTGGATCAGCCTACGTGTGCGGTATCGGCCCTAGTTAAATTTTTCTACTTTAAAGTACTAGGTCACTGCGCGCGAAGGTTATTGGGCTATTAAGGCGAAGGAGCAATCTTTTCTGCTGATTATAGAGATTATGAGGGGATGTCTTAGGATTATTATCATCTTTGCCTGGTGTCTGCGTACTTCTTGGTCCTCGGACTGTGCTGGGTTCTGTCAAGGCGATGAGGCCTCTTACATTTGGCGTATGGATCCATAGGCTTAGTTCGCTGTATTAAATTCCTTAGGACTAATATCAGGGATGTATCCCAGACCGTCGCGAGTAGCCCATTGAGCAGTCCTAGAGTGACGTAATAAAATTCCTACCTGCCTAATTTTAAGTGAATTTTTAACGATATGAGAAAGTGTGCATTGGATTTAATTTAAGTTTGACGCTTTCATTCAGACGGAATATTAATTATTTGTCTGATTACCTGAGCTATTTCATTTAATTACAGAGATAGCGATAAGATCCACTTTTACATATTCACCTTATGATTATTCTCTTATAAACCAGGCTGAAATGTATAGTTTGCAAAAAAATTAGACAGACTAATGTTTTTTTCATAAAATTAAACAGTACAGAGTTCAAGAATTTTGCATCCTACATGATATACACGCGTGAACTTAAACTCGATGTCACAAGAGGATAAGTCCTTTAGGTTCGATGACACTCGCATGATGTCACTTACAGGTATTCAATTAAAGCGGATACAATAATTTTTTTCAGATTGTTGAAAAATCCTAGCCTTAGAGTTGTAACTGTTGATGTAAACAAACGTGGTTTGGCACAACTATATGATTAGTTTCAAGTACCCAAATTTAACTAAACAATTGAAATATAGAAATCTTTTATGCATTTAAAACAGTTTATTTCAGCGATATTTTTGCTAATTATTAGATATGGTGGAATTTTGGATCGACTTATTTCAAGAAAAATCTTAATATGTTGTTTTCATATGATATTTCAAATGCTTCAAATATTTTGCTCTTCGAAGTATTCCATAAAAATTACGGGAAAAGAAATAGATTAATGACAATTCAAAACAATTGACAAATGAGGAACTTTTGTTGGAAGTTTTATAGTGGATTTCGTTTTAATTTAAATTCCAAAAAATTTATTTAGTTTTAAAAATGAATGCATGTTAGCAGCTTTATTCCATGCCAAGAAACTTAAAATGAAATACAAAAAGCAAAAATTAAAATCGTAATACATTAAGTGCATTCTAATTTTTTTTAAATAAAATAACTTTGTGAGTGAAATGACAGTGTTTTAGATAAAAGATAAAATACTAACGAAATATCCTTGATAGTTTGCGTCTTTCATTTTAAAATTTTATGATATAAGAAGTGCTATTTGAAGTCTTATTATAGTATTTATTTAGAATATAAGAGAAACTAATTTTCCTATTTTTGACTATTACAATTTATAAAAAGTACTTATTTTCAGGGTATTACGAAGCTCATCCACAGGGTAAATATTAAGTTTTTTAATGTAAGTTTTTAATGTAATTTTAATTCTGTAGGACTTTTGTATTGAAGTTTAAAATATCGGTCATATATATATATATATTTGACTTAAAAACTGCTCAAA